CTCTCTCTCTCTGATGCTCTCTCTGATGCTCTCTCTCTCTCTCTCTGATGGGGGGCTGTCAAGTTAGAATAAGCAAAAAATAAGTGATACAGAGTTGATGAAAGCATTACAACCTAAACTTTTAGATCTGAAGAATTTTCATTGGCACCACATGACAGTGACATTTTGAATGATAAATGATCTGGTTTCGTATTCTTACAGGCTTAGCTGTTCAAATCTTTCCAGGAAATGACCATGTGCTTTCCTAACCATCCCTATCTGTGTGTCCAAACAGATCAAACTATCTGAGAATCTAAGATCATTCCTTCTGTGAGGTTCTAAACGTTTCTGTAACAGCCGAATGCAAGACAGTGAATTATATTTTTGTTTGGTATAAACTTCCACTACTAGGGAAAGATATAATGCTTAGTTACCTTAAGGTTATTGCCGTTGTGATTTGAAGTTATATAGTACAAATAAAATTGAATTGCTGCTGCCTATAGTGCTGCTAATAGTGGTGTTACTGCCTGGGCTTTGACTCAGCTTGAAAGCTTTGGTTTTTCCATTTGTGTTTCAACTTACTATATGATTACTATTAAAAAGTGTTGACTCCAATATGTGATGATTCCTAATGTTTTTATAAAAAAAACAATTAAACCTCCTGTACTCACAATCTGTGTCCATGAATGTAAAATGTTGCTAAAATGTAAAATGCTGAAACCTTTTGGTTATTCTTTCATGCCAATATGCAATAAGGGAAGAAACACTATACAATCTAAGTTAAATACACAAAAAAATGTTCAAAATTGCTTTAAAAAAAGAGAGTTGAACCTGGCCCTTTTAGATTTAAATTTGACCAAAGTTAAACAAATTCGACCTGTACAACCAAACAGATTTCTCATCGAAAGCAGACACCGATTTAGTATCGTACAAAATAATAAATAGTTGATAAGAAGAAACAAGAGGGGCAAATCCATGACAAAAAGGAAACACTGAAACATTTTTCACATGGCTAAACCACAAAAGCCAGCTCTCCACAGAATGATGTTGACCCAATAGACTTGCCAGTGATATCCAGTCCTCCAAATTCCCAGGTGCTCATCTGGGAATGCCCATTCTTCAGCAAGATGGCCCCTGAAGTGTAGCTGCGATAGTCAGTGTTATGAAGGTGAACTGGTGAACTATAAAGGACTGCTTGTTGTATACAGAATTTCTTTTTTTTTCCCTAAATCATTTATGGAAAAAAAACACTATTGGACTAGTGGACTTCATCGGATTTATTTTAGTGTACATGCTGTAAAGCACTTAAGAAATGTTTCTAGGCATAATATATTAATCAAACTGGTCCAAAGTTCTTAAAAAGGTAATTGTAGAAAATGTTGCTTCGAACATTGCTGTTGTTCTTTGATATTTCTTTTATGAACTTGTGAAATGCAACACAAAGCAGATCATTTTATATTTAATCAGACAACCTTTTCATGACAACAAGCACAGCATACGCATTAGTGTAAGTGTTACTAAGTATTATAATTAATTAGTAAATATGAATGTTAGTTTAGAAGAATTTATTTTTGTGGGAGATGTGTGGAAGCTTGTTTCTGTGCAAAGAAATAGATGCAAGCAGAGGTAAGTATAAATTTTCAGTTATGATTTCAAAAGTTTTGGTTATCATCTTAAAAGTTTGAGTTCTCTAGCATATCGAGACACCGTGTGGAGAGATAGTCTCGATATGCTAGAGAACCCATGTTACACCGTAACTGTACATTACTAATTTAGTGCCATGAAATTCTAGGTTTTCAGCTTTATCTATTTTAAGTAATAAGAAACAAACTAAGACGGGACTAAAAAAAAACCTCGTAGTTCTTCAGGTGATTGTTGTTGTGATTCTTGTTTGTTGAGCCAGGATGTGGACAGAAAGGCGACACGGACATCAGTGAGTGGATGAAGGCAAAAGAGAAGCTGGTACAGAATTTTGAGCAAGAACAATATCACGGGTCTAGACACCAAGTTTCATTACAAGTATAGAAGAGAACTTGAGACAGAGATCTGTAGCTGTATTGAAAAAAGTTTTTTTCATTAGATAAACACATTCAATGCTGGACCCATTTATCACTTTCCAAATACTATATTTAGCATAATACAGTTCAGTATAACAGTATAATTCAAATATCCTGGTTACTATGACTAAATGGTAAATGGACTGACTCTTATATAGCACTTTTCTACTCCCCTGGAGCGTTTAAAGCGCTTTATGCAACATGCCACATTCACCCAAGCACTGCTTTTTATATTTGGCATGATCAAAACACCAACCATCCAATTAGCAGATGACCCTACATGATGCTCTACAACCTGAGCTACAGCCAGGGTGGCTGGACAGAAAGAAAGCAATATATTCCCTTTATTCTGTTGCAGGAATCTTCACAGCACCAGTGAATGGTCTCTGCTCAGTTGCAGTACTTCCGACTACTCTACTACTCTCACACTCACACAGCAGGTGCTATTCTTGTGAAGAATAATGTCAGTCAAATTTCAACATATAACAGCCCTTCAGCAGACGGCACTGGCAGCAGCAGCAATGCAGTAGCTCTGCTGGTTGCTGTTGATTGGGTGCATGTAGAATTGTGGGGTCAATACAGCGGTGTATAATAATCTAAACAGCCACAAAACCTGTTTTTTGTTTGTTTGTTTTACTCTTTCATGGTTTATGCATTGTCTTAAAATGTTAAAGCAGCATTAGTCATAAAATCTCTTTATCTCTGTGTAAACTTCTAATGATCTGAGCTAATATTACCTCAGCACTTACCTGAATATGTGCACTTATATTATTAAAGGACTCGGTTCATTGTTGTTTATTTTCAAGTAGAATTTAATGCAAATATAAATTGAGAAACTTCTTCAGAATAATAAATGCAAACCAACCTTTTTGTGTACAGTTTTTACAGCGACAGCTGTTTTCACCAGCATTCCACCACAAAGTTTGGTAACTGTAAAGACAAGAGGGGAGGCAGAGAGCTCCCTCATGTGATCGTACCTTGCTATTGCATTCTGCTGTGGAACTCACACACAGTTCAGTTTAATTCATATCAAATTGTGTTATATAACCAAAGAAAATCGGATGCCAAAGTGAACACTAAAAATCTGACACACACACACACACTATATGAAAATAAGAAAATTCAGATAGATATTTTGACAAAAACTTTCAGAAAACTGAAAAACATATTGTTTAATTTAAATTATTAACAGTTCCAGTTCATTTTCTTTACGCTGTTCAGCTCAAAGTATCTCTCCTTAATTCGTATACTTTATAATGATATATTCTCCTCTTGTGATTATAAATAACAATGAGATTTATTACCATGTTTTATAGTCGCAAATGCATTGGCAAACACAGCAGAGATGCACGGATATCATTGTTTGGCCCGGGCATCTTTCCCATGTTCTCCCATTTCTGTGTGGCAGGATCATAGCGGTGCACCACCTTAGTATCGGTGTAGTCCTCCTGACTGTATCCACCCAGCACATAAAACCTTCCCTCCAAAACGGCACTTCCTGCTCCAACATGCGGCACTGGCAGAGATGCAAAGGCAGTCCAGCAGTTAGCCACTGGACTGTACACTTCACAAGATAGCTGATCAACAATAGTCATGCTATCATCAGTGGTTACTCCACCTGCCACGTAAAGATATTCACCCAAGATCTCCATACAGTGATGAGCTCGAGGTGAAGCCATGTTTGCCAGGTAGGTGCTTCCTGTTTCTGGATGGTACAGAAAGAGGGATGCAACACAAAGGTAATCATTATTTTCCCCTCCTGTTATGAAGATCTGTCCTTGGGTAACTTT